AGCAGGTCTGATTTATGTGGAGATGACAGCTTATCTGTGGCATGCAGGCTTCATAACCCTCTGATCCCCTTTCAAAATTCCATTTTATTTAGTTCCGCTCATTGTTTCCTTGTTTAGGGCACACACATTCTTGTACTTGGGGACCATACGCCGCTTTTTATGGAATGACACTAACGTGTCACATTTAAGGTTCCATGATAACCACATTATAAACGCGTCTGTGGTTGTTTTTAAATCCAAAAGTTCACCATAACCATGATTAAATGTTGAATTCTGCTTAATTCGGTGCTAGAGGGGGGAGGGGGTGTACTGTAGTTTGCACTCGACAGTGCTGTTCACGAACAGGCTCAATCTAACCGAGTCTGCAACATTTTCATTTTTGACGTTTTGTGCGTTCTTAATTGTTTTAATTTTGTCTTGTGTCTTGGTAAGTGATGTTCTTGTTGCTCTGCCTTCCTTTAAGGCACCGAGTTCTTTGGTTATGGTAATTAAGGCTGTACCTAATTGTACATATTTACACGACTATGTATGTATTTTATTTATTTCGTCTCATGTAACCATAACAATTGTTAGAATTTTACTTGGCGGGGATTTATTTTATTTACACTATGTCGTCATATAGGAACATACCGGTAGTGGTAATTGCAAGTTACCATCCACACCCCCTAGCACCGTCTTAAGCAGAATTCTCAATTTTACATAAACTGGTACACTTAAAGGAAGTGAAGACATGTCCATAGATGTATTCATACGAAAGTGATCATGGTATCTTCAATGTAAAATGTTCGTGCAATTTCACGACATACAACAATATTGTCCACAAGAAAAATAGAGAACAATGGGCGAAACTAATAAAATGGATTTTTTAAAAAACGGGATCAAAGGTCAAAATATAATCTTTAAAATCAGGTAACATATCAAAAGGTTATTATACACTATTTATCCAAAGGGTAATTATACACTATTTAAAAAGGATAATAGAACCACAATAGAAGGAATTTAAAGAACACAAACACAATTATAATGCCAAGCTGAACGATTTTCATATAAACATTATGTTTTAGCCGACTACTATGCATGTTTCATGAAACAGAAGGTCAACAGAGTAATGATCTATGTAGAAACTAGAAATGTGTCCATAGGACACGGATGCCCCCACACGCCACTGTTCTGTCAATCTCATGACTCTAGGTCAAATATTTTTTGGACTACATGTGCCACAAGTTGAAAACTAAAAATCAACAAAGGGCCATAATTCTGTTAAATTTGGTCGCAGCAAAAATTCCTTCCTTTACTACCATCTACAAATTAAGGTTGTTAATCCCTGGAAGTTTAAGCAAAATCTGCGATCCGGTTTAAGAGGAGTTGCGTTCACAAAATTTCTACATAGTATACAATGAAAAAATCAACAAAGGGCCATAATTCTGTTAAATTCGGTTGCAGCAAAAATTCCTTCCTTTACTGCCATCTACACATTAAGGTCGTTCATCCCTGGAAGTTTAAGCAAAATCTGCCATCCGGTTTAAGAGGAGTTGCATTCACAAAATTTCTACATAGTATATAGTGAAAAAATCAACAAAGGGCCATAATTCTGTAAAATTTGGTCGCAGCGAAAATTCCTTCCTTTACTACCATCTACACCTTAATGTTGTTCATCCCTGTAAGTTTAAGCAAAATCTGCCATCCGATTTAAGAGGAGTTGCGTCCACAAAATTTCTACATAGTATATAGTGAAAAAATCAACAAAGGGCCATAATTCTCTTAAATTTAGTGACAGCAAAAATTCCTTCCTTTACTACCATCTACACATTAAGGTTGTTCATCCCTGTAAGTTTAAGCAAAATCTGCCATCCGGTTTAAGAGGAGTTGCATTCACAAAATTTCTACATAGTATCTAGTGAAAAAATCAACAAAGGGCCATAATTCTGTTAAATTTGGTTGCAGCAAAAATTCCTTCCTTTACTACCATCTACACATTAAGGTTGTTCATCCCTGTAAGTTTAAGCAAAATCTGCCATCCGGTTTAAGAGGAGTTGCGTTCACAAGATTTTGGGACGTACGGACGGACAAGTGCAACGCTATATGCTCCCACATTGTGGGGGCATAAAAATATCAAACTTTTTAAATTACTGTTTTGTCAATTTAAGAAACTTTAAAAAAAATAAATTACATTTCATTTGACAAAAAAAGGTGTGTAACATATAAATAAATGAACAGAGGTTGTTTTGCATACATTGTACTTTTCAAATCCTTAGGTGAACTTACAACAAAATCATGCTTATTGAATTGGTAACACATTTTTGAACATATTTTTAGATCTGACAGGATACCTGTAATAGCATCTCACTTTGAAAATCACCTTATGTTTATTAACTTAGGTAAATATTGTCATTCCATATAATCAGTATAATCGAGGGGTCAGAAATTCTTTTATTCATAGTGGTTGGGGTACGATTTGAACAATCATTCATTTAATTTAAATAACCAGAAGCAAATTATCATATTCCTGGTTTATTATGTTAATCAGTTACATTGACTGCACTAAAGAAGCTATAATTTGACAGAAACACAAAATTTGGGGAAATAATTGATAGAACAAATAAGTGCCAGTTACAACCTTACATTGAAAAACTATTTTAATGTACCGCCTCTCATTTTATATGTCTTACTGCATAATTGCAAAGAAAGATTTCTTAAGATATGATATGAATGCATTAAAGCATAACTCTCAAAAAGCAATCTGTTTTCTACAAAAAATTAAATCTCTTCGTATAAAACGCTTTAAATGATATCAGCCGTGCAAAAATTTCACTTGAAATACAAAAGCGGAAACAGATATGAGCAAATATTAATATTCTAGAATATTTAGGGATTTGGCGGCCATCTTTGACGCCATCTTGGATTTTTAAGCTACGCATCGGACTTGAACCAAATGAATATTCATTCCGAAAACTACAGACCCAGACAAACAATTTGGTATATAAAACTTGCTGTTGGCTGACATAGACCACTTCGATGTCATTTTACCCTATGAAATTGCAGCACTATTAATTTTAACTATGATTATGACATTTTTATTTCCATGATCTTCTATAAATCGTCGAGTGTAAAAATTAAATATAAAAGTGCGCACAGCTGAAAAGAAGAGTATAAGTGTCTTTCTCGTATGAGGATAAAACCTGGGGATTTCTGAACAACTGAGTAGGAGGCAAAATTTTTATAGAACCGAAAATGGTACAATTACATAAGTTTGATGTAAACCTAATAGCACATTGCATACTTTTTGATTATTTAATGACAGGACATTCTTTGAAAATGTGCAGGAACAAGATGTAAATACTGACAGTCTGCAATTAAAATGATTGATAAAGTTCGTCGAAAATTTTGATTACATTCGCAATTTTGCGACCACTTCTGTCATATTTATGTAAATGGAAAACCGGCGAGATGTACCGATTGTTAAGATCACAGAAAATATATCGTTAACATGTATAGTCAACATCAATAATTTCGCGTCATCACTTATTTCTCTGCAATGCCATATTTCCATGTGACTAGTTGTTTCATACAGCAGAAAATACTTAACTATTATAGCTTTTGACAATTTTTGGTACCGTAAGTTCATTGATTCTTATCCTTCTTGTTTCAAAGAGTGAAGTATCGTGAACTAAGATGAGCACAGTGTGTGTCGCCTTGGTCATTTCCATTCGTTTTTTTTTTGATAACATAAAAAATGAAGAAATTATTCTACATGCATATACATTGTATTAATTTCTAAACATGTATATTATAAGATTTTTAACATATTATATGGCCCTATGTATAGGGTCAACACACCATGACGTTCTCGTCATCAATCTCTGAACGTTTCAATCGTTCAATTTTTTAACGTTCTTGAATGACGTTGACACATCAAGCGTGTGATTAACGTGCGTCTAACGCATAACAAGCGTGTGTCTAACGCACGAGAATCGTGTAAAAGCGACCAAGTAAGATACGTCTGAAACTCATAAGCGTGTGATAACGTGCCACTGGCGCGGGGCGAATTATTTGTCAACGCCTGACGAGCGTTGTGAGCGTGTGACTAACGCCTGAATAACGACAGCATAGCGTCTTGATGGCGTGTTGCTTTTACGGATATACGGGTACAGAACGCTGGAAACTTCATATTAAATTCAGTTTCTCTTGTGAGTTTGAATAGTCAGCATTATGAAGCCCAGAAAAAAAAGATTGGGGTGAGGACTTCTCCTACTAGCTACATTTCGTATTTCCAAATTATTGACGTCTTTATATTCATGACTTAGTTCAACACTGTCGTCTTCGTCGGGGTCTTCTGCTCTGTGGATGACTGTCGGGGTCTTCTCTGCGGATGAATTTCCTCGATATGTTTAAGTTCTGTACATCTACTAGATGCTTGACAATAGCAAACATATATAGTCTGTACTAAATTTTTTCATGATCTTCCATAGTAGGTGTTCTCAACGATAGCCCAAAATCAAATGAACCTTACTTTAACATGCGCTTGAAGACCGCTCAACGGTCATTGACAGGTCGCCACTGAGTCGCCAGTGAGTCGTTCACTGCAAAACAAACGATTAGTAACAACTCAGTAGCAATTGAGTAACGACTGACTAACAACGTATGCAACGCTCGGCGAAAGTTAGTAAAACGTTCCATGAACGTTCTTAAGCGTTCTTCAGCGTTTGAAATTTAAATGTTGAAGAACGCTGGTCTGAGTGAGAACTTTTGTGCATGTTCAAAACTTTTTTTCGGGACCAGCGTTCTACGCCGATTCCATGCGATTACCGAAGTTCACTGTCGTTTACATAATTGCAATATTATGCCCAAATTATGTATCTCTATTAAGTGTTCATGATACTTTACCAAAGTCTTACGGATATTGCTGAAAGTTTGGGATTGTAAGTGGAACATTTAAATAATTTTAACAAGTCAAAATGTAATAAAGTCGAAAACGAAACATAATAATAACAGGTCCTGTATCCACTTTTTAATACAAAACTTTATTAAAGCTTGTATGAAAGTCATTTACCATTAAAGATTGGCAATTGAACAGTTCAGTCAAGAGACGAAGGGAGAAATGGCTGAAAAGACTATTTTTAGCAATCTACCATTAATTGGTTCACTGTCCCCTTGTTTGCAATACATTTCCCAATTATTTTCGGTGAAACAAAAACAAAGAGTAATAAAAGAAATTTTTCAAAGTCATATAAAAAGTATAAAGGCAGAGTTAAAGTTCCTTATATGAACCCATGATGTTATTTTCCTTAAGTACGGATATAACTACAATTGCAATAACTAGTAACATATACAATGACTGTAGTTTTTCAAACAACTTTAAAGCCCAGTCTGGATCTTTGACGATTTCTCCAGCGCAGCCATTTTCTCTCTTGCACGTGAAATCACATTCAATTTGACAGCACGGCTCCTTACAACATTCGCAACAATCGCTACAACAGGGTTCTTTGCAACAGTCATTACAACATGGTTCTTTACAACAATCACAGAAATCGCTGCAACACGCATTCGTGTCACAGCCATTACAAAATGGTTTGTATTTCTGCTTACATGTAGAATTACGTACGTTGTTCTTTATTGCTTTGATAATTGTCCACACAATCATTTTTCCCATGGCCGTGTAGTCGACGTGACATTGATAGCTGAAGAGCAGAAGAAGAATGGCCTGAGGCAGGTCGTCACATAGAAGTGACAAAAGCGTCTCAACCCAACCATGAAGAAGTTGAAATCCTCTACAACCCGTACCAGTCTCGGACGGCTTTTGTTTCCGGTATTCCATTAGTGTTTCTCCTGTCATACTTACTATTCTCAGCAAACCGTAAGCGGTCCCGACGTAAACGATAATTCCGAAGATTTGCGTAAAGTTAGTAGATCCTTTACTGCATTGTGACTTCCAAGGCGAATTTCCTTTCAGACTATTTGCTGTCTCAAGAAAGTTAAGCCAGTCCGGTAATTCAAAGTTGCCGAGCCATGAAGCATATTGTAACCAATTTAGGCAAAGGTCGAGAAGAATGAAAAATCCAGAAATAATGCGCTTGAAAATAATGCCATGTATGGAAGGTGTGTATATTGGGCCGTCGTTTTCTGCAAAACAATTGGAAAATATTACTTTCATCGACATTATAAAATGATCTTTTAAAGCAGAAATCAAATAAGATTAATGTTCTGTTCAATGAATAAAAGAAGAAGAAGAAGAAGAAAGAGAAGAAGAAAGAGAGGAAGAAGAAGAAGAAGAAAAATTGTCATTTTTGTAATGAATACATAACATGAAATTGATAACGGTAATGCAATATAAATGCTTAGTGTAACAAAGCCTTGCGATTTCTTTTTTTTATTAAATATGAACACGGTAAGTTAATTGCTCCGATTTGTAAGCATACCTTTATCTGACGGCATAGGGCTTTGTGAATCTCGCACCATGTACTGATTACCTGGACCATTCATTTTAACGCAATTAGCTTGATGGTGTCCATATTGCCCTGGTTGCATTACACATGGCACATTTCCTTGTACCATCGAAAATGGTGGTCCCATAGCATCATGTTGCCTCATTGGTTGCATTTCTATTGATGTTTTGCCAACGTCCTGCTGTCCAATATGTTGCATTTGTGACGATAATTGGTTACTGACATATTCACCATTCCCAAAGAATTCGCCTTGCGTTTGGTCACGTGAAGAAATTTGCTGAGCAGGGGGCTCCCCTTGGTACCCTTAAATACATAAATTGTGTTTAGAAAAGTATGAAAATATACGAAAATAAAAGACAAAGTTCTTCCTGTAACCCCTTACCCCATATAGTTGTGTTTTAACGGCTTTTAACCACCCCGCCCCTTTTTGAGGCTTCAAATAGTGAAAAATGCCCTATTTCGGCCCCAAACATTGTTTTACATTTGAGAAATGTTGTTAAAAAAGTGATCACTTTTTCGGCGCCGCTCCTATCAAAAAGGTACATCAAGGGGGTGTCAGAAGGGGGACGTGGCCCCTTCTGTTTTTTTGGGGTTTGAAGGGGGATGCAATAGTACTCTCATCGCCAAAACAATTTTGGACTTGTGAGGGGCTAAAATGGCCTCAGGTTGATCTTTAGGTATCGGGTAACCAACGCTGAAAAGCCTTTGGCTCTATCTCAATCCATTGAGAAGTTGCAGCACTTTGAAATCAGTTTGGATGGAAAAAACAACGCCAAATAGTGATTTTGGCAATTTGAGACGTACCCCGTTGTTATGTTACATGCAACAGGAAATTTAGGATTGAGCATGCTGTTACAGACGCTATGGTCCAGTAAACATTTGTGCCAAGTTTGATCTTTTTATAGTTTCATAGCAATTTGAACTTGTTACAGGAGTCTTTTAAATGAAAACAATATACTCATGCGTAAAAGGTTAAACAGAATCATTTTTGCAGTTGTCAAAAATTAATGTTTATGAATTTAGAACGCATCGTTTCAAGTTGAAATGATTCTAAAGCAATTGACATTGTTATCTTGAAAACAAAAGTGAATTATATGACACAAGAGCTTACATTACGTATGCGACGACACTTACTTTATTTGTTAATTTATCTGTATTTAATTCATTGCTAAAGCTTTGTAATAATAAAACAAACAAAAATAAGTTTTCCTTCTAGAAACAAATACAGTTCATACTTTCTTACAATAGGTGAAAATCTGAAGTTATAGGTTTATCATTGATAGTAGATAGATTTTATCTTTAAAAATGGGAATACTTCCCCTTTTCCATTCGCAGTTTTTTTAAATAACGGTGTTATATACTACTATAGTTTCTTGCCAGCAATAACAACATTCCCAATTTGTTGCTTTTTAAGCATTTTGATATTTTAATTTCCACTACCAACAATAAGTTTAATTTAGGACAAAATCATATCAACAATTAATTTAATGTAGCACAAAATGATATAACAAATTTTAGCAGAAGTAAGGTTAGAATATTTTCATGGTACAATAACATCGGTTTTGTATGGTATTCTACTTGTGTTGTATGAATATCAAATATTTACGTCAAATATTCTTCCTTTTTCTATATTATCCAAATGAACAAGAAATAATAACGCTGTCCGCGTAATATTTGTATAACAAATATGAAGAATGCAATTCATGTGTAAGTATTACATAAATTGTGACACCTGAGTTTATCATACGGCCCTGAAAGATTTCATGGAAACCCTGTTGAGTGCTGATAAAAGGATTGAGATCAAACCGTTTGGGAAATCAGGCCAGACTGATATCAAAATAGACGATAGTTGGTGGGGACTGGACATTATATAAGTTAATCTAAAACAACGAAATACCAAGTAGAAAAACTATAATGCTGGTGAAATTGGTTTGCCAGTGATACATAAAGTTGATTTGAAATTTAAATGAAACATTTAACTTCATTTTAAACTTGTTAAAGTTAACATTTGCCGTATGTGAACCATTTAAAAAAGTGTATTATTGACAGACTAAGTTTACGTTCACTTTATAAATCAATAAATTAACCAAAATACTATTGAACCAAAAACAATATAATTCCCATGACATCACGTACGTATGTATTTAAACATAATGCTACATAAATCAAGATATTGTGGCTGCATCACGACGACGCAAGCAGTCAATATCGAACATGAAATATTGAAACAATAAAAATATGTGTAAATAAATATTTAGCTATGACCAAAAAAGAAAACGAACTCCGATTAATATGACTTTAACAACCATCTAATCAATCTTGATGCATCAAAAAATTAGACAGCAAACCGTGGAAACGTGCTTTACCTTCATTGTCATGTGCTGAACTTCCATAGCTATCATCATTTTCTGAACTATTCTCGCTACTTTCAGACTCTGAACTTCCATCATCACCAGCTTCTTCTGAAATATCTTTGTCTTGTGCTAAACGTTTTTTATATCCACCCTTGTCAGAATAACTGTTTGATTCCATCATTGAGTAATTTTGGACATGAACACTTGAACAATAATTTACAGGCTGTGAGATGTAGCAATCTGATTTTATCTTTCAAATCAAATATGATAAAAATCTCATAGTAGTATAGGGGTCGGTTTACCCCCAAGACTGCGCATGCGCGGCGGCCATTTTGTTTTCTATAATTAGTAACTCATTTGCATAGAAGAAATGACCTTACTACACATGCGCGGCGGCCGTGTTGAATAACAGACGCGCGGCGACCATTTTGGATTCTTTTTTAAGAATGACATCATCACGTTATAAATAGTAATAAAAAATATATCCCGGAAGTATACGGAGCTGACTCGTATACACGATTTAGGGCTTGAATCGCGGATATTGAAGGTCAGGTCCTCGGCCCTAGACGGGGAGATAACATTTCAAGTGAAAATTATACACATGTATCCATAAAAAATGAATGAATAAAATGACTTACCTTCCAATTAGGACATTTTGTATTTTAAAATTTTTTTTTAAATTTTTCTTATATTTT